ATATATTATAATTATCTAATAGAATTAGTTATTGAAGCAAAATTTACTATGAAAATACTGTAACCAGGGAAAACTTAAAAGGTTCGCAAGAAGCCGAAAATTCCTCTTACTGACACCAACAGCATGCAGGAACTCCACGGAAAGCAGACCAAATAAGATTCCGGAACTTTACCAGAGAAGACTCCGCTAAAGCTTCTAAAAAGGAACGAGAATAGCCGCTCCATCCAAAAAACTCGGATCGGAAACATCAACAACCGCCATAACAGGAAAACAAACAAGAGAAAACAAAAGGAGAAGAACTAGCCCTCGGCGAACCACGCACCCGCAACGGGCGCTATCAATATAAAGGCGCTTTTCGAGGACTCTCTCTTGCGCAACTTATGTTTCTGTAATAAGTAAACAATTGGGTCCACGCATTAATTGAGTAAGACATATATTTATCTGTAATATTTTATGTTCATTAAATAAAAATTAAAAAAAAATTATTTATATTTAGCTATTTATGAATATTTAGACTTGTCAGCCTAAAAAAAATAAAACTTCTAGTATATAAAGATTATTTGTAATATGCCCCTCCTGAATTTTTTTTTTGCTCTCAATTACTTTTTTTTCATGCAATTGCCCCTCATAAAATCGAAGTCTCTTAGCCACCTCCTATTTCATTAGATTATGTTAAAATTTTTTCTAACAATAACAAATACGTCTATAAAAATCAATTTGTGTAAAATAATTTATTTTACATCTGTATATATATATATATATATATATATATATATATATTGCGGTATGAGCATTTGACCCTGGCCCATTAAGATTCTTCAACTTCTTTTCAGGCCCAGCATAATATAAAATTTTTTCATGAACAAAAAGTGGTCGGTTCTACTCTAAAATTATTGTAATGCTATTTTTTTTTTTTAATTATTGTAATGCTAATTGTTTATATATAACACTCATTTTAAAATATATTAAAAATTTTTATAATTAATTATCTTGATCAAAATTTTAATCAGAATTTTTTGCCACAATTTTTTGCAGTGAACATAATTGCGAGCAGAATTTGAGGAGGAGATCGAAGATAAACAATCACTCGTTGAGGAGAAATTATTCTGTATGGACTTCGGACGCAGCTCTACATCCGGATGCCATTGTACCGAGCGGTAATGATCGTGGTACCTAGCTGTACAGAGTAGTTCTGAGCCGCGGTTCAATAAAAAAATGACGTAACACATTCTGATTGATATCCTGATGAACTTATCAGTAGGTCACATCCCTTCTAGCGGTTCTATTTTATTGAAAGTATTTAAAATTGTTAAGATACGCACAACATCGTTGAGAATAATTATATAATCAAACTGAAGTAAAGAAAATAGTTTAAATTAAATAACTAATTATTAGTAGGCCGCATTCTGTCTCCATGGTTGTTATTGTTCCACATCCCTAATTATTAAGAAGGGGAATCAGGCCGATTTCAAAGCTCTCATGAAACTTGTCATTTATTGTTACAATCATCAAGCATGTTTAAGAGCTAATAATTCTCACATAAGCTCCGTGCATGTTAGTTCATGATGTCAAAACATGTTTTTTTTTAACAAAAAGTAAGAAACTTTATTAAAATTATAAAAGGAGTACAAGAAGCATAGGAGCGAAATGACAAAAAAGCAACTGAAAATAAAAGAGAGTAACAACCCAACAGGCTCAATAATTAGCCGAGGCTTCCAACTACACCTTAGCCAGACTCAAACCATCCAATTTTGAGAAGAGAGTAGTAAAACACGATGCAACCAACCCAACCGAGCAAGAAACCACCACCAAAGGTTGCCACGAGCCAAGGCTACGGAGTAGTGAGCCCCAGCCACATCATTGCCCAACAAACCAAACGGCCAACAGTAAATTTAAATCGAAACTCCAGTGAACCAGCAACAAGCAAAAACCAATCAATGCAAAAACCAATCACCATCCAGAAGCATCAAAGACAACCGAGAACAGCAGCACCAACCAACAAATTATTTCCTCCCACGTTTACCCCTCCCACGAGAGGAAACAGAAACAACAAGACAATCATTCGTTAAGGGAAAATCAACCCCAGGTTCATCATCCTCACTAGCTTCCGAAGATTAATCGGATGAGCATTGAAGCCAATTAAGTAGCATCCTAACATTCTCCCCTGAATTGACACCTACTTGAGCAACCAATGCCTTAGGTGATACTAAATTAACAGAGACCTCAACCAAATGACCAGTTAAAGCTGGCGTAATTGGAGAAATAACAGTAAGAACAACACCAGATCCCTCACTCACCACACCTGAAGGTGTAACAAATCTATCCCCACTCAAATTAATCGAAGAGCAAGTTAGACGAGACCCATGGGAAGGCACATTAGGGATGCCAAACTCACCATAATCCTCCACAGCCACGCAAGGCACCACATTACTATTTAAAAAACACGATGCAAACATAATATCCACCACAGACAAAACAAGACATAAATTAACAGCACAACGCAAAAGACCACCAGCACTAACACAAGCCCGAGGGACCTGAGTAGAAGGTAAGGCCCCAGCCACAATATCCTCAAAAACCTTCACAGTAGACTTAGCAGCACCAACCTCACCAAAATAAATCACATAATTCAACGAATTAACATGCAACATGTTAGGAGAAGTCGGCACAGGAGACCCCAACTCATTAATAGGAGGCAAAACAGTAACATCATCCTCAAGAATACCAACGTCACAATCCAATCCCTGCACCTTAGGCACCGTTACATAAGGGACAACATCATTTTCAACAAAAGCGAGACTAAATTAGAGCTCGTATTAAGAGTAGCATTAGGGAGAACAACCGAGCCAGAACGACATTTAGCCGGAACATGACCAATACACTTACAAGACACACAAAAGAGGGGAAAATCGTCTAACACAACCTCCTGCACATACCCTAAATTTACAGATCCTAACCATACTTGATTATGATAGGATTGAGTTATATCAAGCTCCACTAAGACACGAGCAACAGAATGCCATGAACATATAGAAGTTGCTTCATCAATTTTCAACGGTTTGCTAAAGATAGCGCCAAGGCCATGAAGAACACAATGGGTGTACAAATGGGAACGAAGATGAGGAAAAGAAATCCAGATCGGTAACAGGCGACTCAACACCAACATCCAAGCAAGACGACCACTTCGTTAATTTCATATAGTAGTTGGAAACAAGATAAGATCTTTGGCAAAAGACCCTACAATAGTCTAGGTCATTTGCAAATTTGATCAGAATGTGAGAAGGATCCAGCAAGGTAACAGAGACTTCGCCATTTAGCTTTAGGTTGAAAAAAAATTTCTGAATGGTGTCCAAAGAAGGCCTCTTAGAAGGGAAAAACCCAATTAAAGAAAATTGAAAAGGGGAAGCCAAAGCCCTGATTTCTTGGCCGAAAATCTAAAGTGAGGGCAAGTCACGGAATGTAGAAGTCCTTAAATCCGGAAAACAAGAAGACGAAGAAGAACTAGTGAGCGCATCTAAAAACGAAACAGGAATGGAGAAGCACCCCCCCCCCGTCCCCCCCCCAAGAAACCAGGGTCTCGCAACTTATTCGGAGCCATACCGGTACCGTTGGAGAGAAAATGATCAAAACAACCGAGCAAACACCAAAACAATTAGGATACAAAGAGGAGAGCTTCCCAGGAATCCAGAAGAGCAACTGGCGAGGAAGCCCTAGCGGGGCGGAGAGATCCCTGGCACAGCCTAGCGAAGGAACCCTAGCAGAGGGAAAGAGGCCTAGACGTTGAAAGTGAAAATAATGATGTCAAAACATTTGTTTGTTGGAAATCGTGATTGTTGTATGTGAAGAATTCTAAAGATTCGAATCCAATACCTCTTAGTTGATAGCCAATGTTCTCAATCAACAGACTAAGGCTTTGTTTGGGACGGCTTTTTTATTACTTATTAAAACAACTTTTTTGTTAAATAATTAAATTTTTGTACTTAAAATATACTTTAAAAAAATAGTAAGAAAGCCATCCCAAATGAAACCTAAGCTGAGCTGCGAGAGTAGAGTTCTCATTAGAGCAAAAAATAATCTTACATTTGAAGTGAAATAAGAGATGTGTTTCTTGATATATTAGAGGCGACTTTTTATCTATTAACCTAAAATTTGGGTTCACTATAGGATAAAAAAAACATAAATTTTTTTCGGTGTTAATTTTGGCAGAAAAAATGGCCAGTAATTTCAAAGGTATTTTTGACGAAAAAATCTGATGGAATTGCTTATTTTTCTTATAATAGGTCATGATTTTCCACTAAGACCACCCGTAATGTTCCTCATAAGGAGTGAGTGTTTAATATTCTACACAAATCACAGAAATTATCCTCAGGATATTAAAATCAAATCTCTACTACATCATATTTTTACTTTAACAACCAAATTTCTTTAGCAAAATAGATCCTCACAATTATGGGCGGTATTACTCTCAGTTGAGCCCACCCTCAAAAATAAAATTTAAATAAATAAAAAGCGTTCTTTAGTTAATTTCAACCCTTAAAATTCTATTTTTCCGGATTTAAAAGAGAGAGAGAGAAAATTGTAGCATTTTTTATAAGATTATATTATGATTAGGAATGTTTTCTCTCTATGTAGAAAAATTGAAAGTATTATTTCGAGGTGATAGCATAGCAAAATTGGTTAAATTGTACATATTGATTTTTAACTTATTTTTATTAAATTTTAAAATTATTAATAACCCCTTTAAAAGGATATAATAAATTGAAATAAAATAGTAACAAAAAAATAAGATAAACTAGAAATGAATACCTAAGATACTTATTTAACTCAAAACATAGAGCAATTATTACATGAGCTGAGCTCAATATCAATTAGCTCAGCATTCGAGCTCCATCCAAGCACGTTAAAATTCCTCACATAACAAACACTTGAAAACAACAAACCAACTAGAAGACAAATTATTAACTCAGATCGAACAGCAACTGTGAGCGATATTTTTGTTCTTAGTCGGTTCCCCCGAAGACCTTCTTGAGCTTCTTAACCTCCGCATCATCGAGGAAGGTCACCTTCTCCACTAGCGGCGACGGCAAAGAGTTCGCAAACAACGCAAGGCTCACAATCTGCAATCCCGGGTTCGGGCTACTGAAAGAACCAAATGCGACCGCCGGCAAGCCGCCACTCTGCACCTGCAAGTAGTCATGGCAAATGCTCCAAGTTTATCCTTTTAGCTCGATTAAGAGTTTCTTTTAATTGATTCGATCGTTAAATATTCTGTGGACGAGGAAATATATTTGGCCAAATAAAATTTTAATAAATTTAAATAAAAAATTAGGTTTTGATATTTTGATTAAATGTTTTGTTAGGATAGATTTAAAATTATTTGAGTTATATTAAAATTTGTAGTATAAATTTTGATTATTTCTCGAGATTAAGCCCATTTCAAAGCAAATTTAATACCCCCATCTTGATTAAAATTTGTTGGAATATACAATGACAGAAAATTGTCTTATATATTTATATAGTAATATTTAAATTTTCATATTTGTATATAAAACATTCTAATTTTTAAATTTTACCTATTTAAAGTGAAAATCATATATATACAACTTTTCATACATATGTTTTTATTTCATTTGAATGCTAGTAAGTTATATAAGAAATATAAAAATATAAAAATTCAATATAATTTTGCTATTAAAAACTACAAAAAATTTTCATAATAAAAAATTGAGCCGTTGAGCTCATTGATAGGTATTCTATTCAATAATTAACGAACAGAAGAGTCCAATAAAGTTCAAAGTTGTTCATATTCAGCCGTTAATTTACAGTTTAATTAATTACCTGGAAGTGTAGCAGGCCTTGGGGAAAAACTATCGCATCTCCTTTATGCAGCGTCTTATAATAAACTGAATTGGAGGAAGAGATGAAGCCAGCTATGATGGAGCCCTGTATAACTACGAGGACCTCGGAGGCGGCGGGGTGAAGGTGGAGAGGTACTACGCCACCAATTGCAATGTCGAGGCGAGCGGCGGAGATGCCGAGGCCGTTGAGGCCCGGTAATTGCGGGGAGAAGGCGGGGGTTACGGCAGCTTTGAATTTGTTGTTGGTATTTCCGGCAACGCCGAGTCCGGAGAAGACGAAATCAGAGATGGTGACCGTGGATTCTTTCTTGCAGGAGAATCCGGCTGGACTAGTGGGGAGGGAGAGATCGGCGACGCAGAAGTCGGCGGCGGAGGAGGGGGAGAGGATGGAGGAGAGGAGGAGGAGAAGGAAAGGAATTGGAAGCATTGCTTGTTAATTTTTGTTGTTAGAGATAAAGATATATGTGTGGGGCGAGGTGCTAATTCATCGAGGTGGAGATATATATATATACTCTCTCGATCGAGAGAGGGAGAGAGAGTCACGAGGGATTTTGTTGGGGATCGAAATTTTTTGCTTTTGTTAATTTGTGACAGATTTTTTTTTGAATGTTTAATAGTTCAATTAAAATAAGAAGAGGAAGCTCCCACTGCTTTGTAAGTCTGTTTGAATGGAGGTAGTGTAATATTTTGGCGATGGCGGTGTGCTTTTTAAGTTTATAGAGTAATAATCCCCACTAATATTTAGGAAAGTCTATTGGTAAATAATTTATACACCATAAAAAAAAATCATTTAGATCAGACATGAATCTTTAGGCATATTTAGATTGAATATTTTCATAATTAAATAAAAAAATATCATTAAAACTCTGATATTATCAAATTTATAGTCGAGCTGAGAATCTTGACGAGAAAAACCAAACGATATAGAAAATTATCTAAGTTGAACTTAAATGAGCCCAAATCAAGTGAAGCACAAATGAAAACTTCAAGATATTAATTGAATAACCAAATGATCTCAAATATTGACATGCTTATAGTTGAATTAAGCGGCTCGATTAGACGGATTCAACATTCCCAAGATTGCTCGATTATGATATCATAAGGCACTTAAATGTTAAAGTTCAATGCTTGACATACTTGGCTATGTACTTTTAGCTTTCTCCAATATATTTCTTGTTACTTCTATTGGTCTTAATGAGGACTTGCGATGCACTCAATAAAAATTCATTTGTCCTCTAATGAAACTTAATTAGAAAGCGATTGTTTGCACATGAGAATTTTTATGGTGTACTCCTCTTGCAAGTTATACTCGTCTTTGCCTTAATTGCTATCATCATGTACACTTAGATATATTGTAGATGTAGAAATGTGATTTTAAATGTTCCACCATATTACCTACCTTCTTTATATCCATCAAGGTTTAAAATGATGAAATAAGAAATAAAAGACATTTTCCTTTATTAAGATGAGGATGATGCATAAGCCTCAAGTTGGATGGTGACAAAATAAAATAAAAAAATTCATAAATTGTATCAAATTCATAAATATGCAATAAATCATTAATAGTTTAATTTTTTTTTTAGGATAAACCCACAGAGGGGCCTACGTGTTAATATTAAAATTCGGTTACAACGTCCTTAAAAGGACCCACCAGCTCGCTACTGCTCCGAAGAGCTACAATCAAAAAGGAAATAAAAACAACTAAGAGCCGGTAGTTCCTTGTCATAAGCTTAATTTAATAGTTTAACTTATGCTTCATTTGGGATGATTTTTTACTGCTTTCTAAAAACAACTTTTTAGTTTAAAACTACTTTAAATAACAATAAGAAAGTCATCCCAAACAAAACCTTAGTTCATCATAATCTAGTACTTTTAACAAGAGAAAAGAAAAAAAAATCAGTCTTAAATTTTCTTTAACTAAAAGAAAAATCTTTTTTTTATCACTTGTAGCGGAAACAAAATAAATCAATAATAAAAAGATTAATCAGATATTTCACACAAGCAGTTAAAGGTAATAAAAATAAAGTATGAAAATAATAAAGAAAAGAACCCATCCGATATATAGTGGTTCGGTCCAACTTGACCTATGTCCACTCCTCGGAGGAACCCTCCGAGTATTGCACTAAATCTTTAGTGACTCTCATTTAACCCCACAGCTAGGCGGAGAAGCCCTTACAAAATCACTTCCACCTTTCCCGGTGAAGCAGAGTAGTCGGGTCCTTTGACACCAAAGAGATCTTCTTCTTCCCAAAACTTCTCTCAAGATGAACCTTGAATCTGATGGTACTAAAGGTGCAAGCTTACCGGAGTAACCGTGTGAAACCCCCTCCACACTCCCTTGAAACCCGCTCAAAGGATCTTCTCCCTCTCTCAAACTCCAACATTTCCTCTCTCTCTTTCAAATTCTCTCTTCAAGTTTTGTCCAGAAGAACGAAACTTCAATGACTGCCAAAGATATATACTTATCAAGTGCCTTAACAAAGCATAAATAGATGGCTTTGAAAAATCATAAAAAATAATCTTGGCGGCAAATATCATCAAGGACGATCACAGAATCATCCCATATGATGTGCTTAAAAAGAGGGCTTTGTAAAACCCTAAAAATTCAATTTCGACATCAAATATCATCCAAGACGATCGCAGAATCGTCCCGTATGATGTGCTTAAAAGAGGGCTTCAGAAAATCCTAAAAACTTAATTCATGTGCCAAATAAAGTCCATGACGATCGAAGAATCGTCTCGTACGATATGCAGAATTTGACTTGATAGTCCCGGCTGATATCAGGATAATCCTGGATGATTAGTTCAAATTTATACAGATCATCCAGGATGATATTGTGGATCGTCCTGGATGATTAGAAGAAAAATTATGGTATTTTGTCTTGGACGATTTAGAAAAATCAGGTATGTCGGCAAACGTCATACAGCACGATTTAAGAATAGTTTAATCATAATTAATCTTTTATTCACATGATTAATTTAGTCATGATTTGTATTGATCGTCCAGGACGATTATAACAAAATTTTAATCTTAAATCCTTGCGTAAACGATCATTGACGACTATTTTTCAATATCATAACGAATCATCCTAGACGATCAAAATCGTCCAGTATGATTAGTTTAAAACTTGAACTTCTTGTTTTGACTCAATCTCACTCCCACTAAGTATGTGTGTGGATGGCCACCAAGCAAGCATACAATCATAAAGGGCTTGACTAAAGAAATAAAAAAATACACCAAAGAGTATTACAAAAATTGTTACAACATAACATATTCTATCTAATCTTGAGCTAGCCTTGAATCTTTATTGGATGGTGCATGGTATTCCTCAAAAGTTAGTACACACACAAATAAAAATATATATTGCAAATACAAGTAGACAATAGGATGTGAGCCATAATATTTGTTATCATCAAAATCATAAACTCATAAGCTCGAGTTGCAACAAGATCATTACTAAGTTAAGTGTTACAGAGATGAGGATGCTTAGGTGGATGAGTGGTTTTACCCTTAGAGATAGGATACAAAATGCGCATATACGTGAAAAGAGATTAGAGTTGCTCCAATGGAAGATAAGATTAGAGAGAGTCGCCTTAGATGGTTTTACCACATTAAACAGGGGCCTTCCGATGACCCTGTCAGGAAAGTTAAGATATTAGATTTGACTTATGTTAAGAAAGGTAGAAGTAGATTTAAAAAGACTTGGTTAGAAAATTTTAGAAATGATCTTTGTTTATTATATTTAAATAAGAATTTGACTTTTAATAAGACACAATAGTGAAAAAGGATTCATATAGTCGACCCCACGTAGTGGGAGAAAGGCTTGATGTTATTGTTGTTGTTGTTGTACTCTTAATTCTTGAATGAAATCAGATTCAAATTTGGCCTTGGATGACATGAGCATCTTGCTTAAGTGGGCACTTCAAGTTAATAAGCTCTGTTGCTCCCAAGGTCGTCATACTTATTAATTTGCTCTTCATTAATGCCTTCAAAAAGTTGACTTTGTTGGAGCTTGCTTTAGATCTAGCCCAATTAACATGATAGTTAACTATATCTTATTTGTACTTTATTATAACGAAGTAGAAGGCTAATAATGTATGTGATTAATTATTGATGACGCATGATTGGGTTACTTTAGTCACTTAGTCTTGAAATAAAAAGAAGAATTGCGATGGACGATGATGGTCTCTAAAGCACAATAATGTTGTAATTTATCATTTTAATGAAATATTTTTATTTTGCATTATGCAAGTAGTGAATAACAATAACTAAATAGGCGATTGTTGATCATTCTCATCAATAAAAGTAGGCCTATAATGTAAATATATAACAAACAAGATGTTAAAGATATGTGTGGATTTGCTGAGTTTACTGACATTTCCATTGATTAAATAAAATCAGGTTCCCTAATATTATTTTAAAGTTTGCAACTTACAAAAGTTTATCTTAATAAAAAAAGAACACTTGTGACGGTTTTAACCGTCACAATATTATAGATTTGCGGCGGCTAAAATTAAACTGCCGCAATTCTGCAACCAAATTTCATTTTCAGGCTATGATGGCGATCATAATCGAATCAATTTTGTAAAATGTGGTGGTTATGACCACCGTTACAGCTTGCACTCCCTATATACCACCTATCCTAATTGTCTTAAAACTATTGTGAAATATGTCGTTGTAAGGCATTATAATCAAGTCGCAGTTTTCAAACTGTTGCAAGAATAATAGAGGTTTTAAAAACCATCAGGAAAACCTATTATTATAGTGTTAGCCCTTTTTTTGAGTAGTGAATGTTTCTTAATATTCATGCTGCCCTTGCTCTTATTCATGATTGTGTCAGATTTTCATGCAAAATTATGTCATTAAACTTTTTATCTCTCTACGGTCCGTGGTGAATGTACCCACACACAACACTGATAATACATATATGATATATTAAATGTAAAAGTGTTTCTCTCTCGCTTGTGCAACCTAGTCTCCTTAAGAATGAGGACAAATAATGGAGAGTAGCCATTGCTTTCAGCTCAAGCAGGCCACAGTGACTGACAGGTCTTCCGTCTGATCGGGAGGTGACGGCATCCGCAAGCAGCTTGACGCCTTTTCGCCGTTTTTCCATGCAAGAAAGAGGTGAGCAGAATCTGAGGAAAAGAGAAGATGATAAACCAAAAAGGCTCAACCACTCGTTGGGAGCAATGGCCGCTCATTTTAATTTGGTCCCTCCTCACAGCCTATCATTCATTTGAAGGATTTCACCTATGTTGCACGGATAAATCTATTTAGGAAGGCGTGCTTTTTATCCGATACACCGATACAAGGATACACCTCCGATACGACAATGATACGTGTATCCAATTAAAATACCATTTAATTTCAAAAGGACACGCATATCGGATATGCGTGTCCATTGAAAAACAAAAAAAAAATATTCCGAAAAAAAAAAAGACACTTCGTATTTACTTGCGAGCTAGATTCTCTAATTTCTAAGATGGATTTGAATCTCTTGATGATATGGGTATATTAAAAATTGTTAATCATTCACTTGATGAGTCTGAATTAGAAGCTATGATATTTATTGAAGATATATAGAAATTCAAAGACAAACCACTAAAGAAGCTAATCATATCATTCATTCTATTAATTAGTTAAAACTTCATGGGCTAGACAATTTATGTTTATGTTTTTTTTATTGAAACTTCTTTTTTTTTTTTTTGTAATTTCAAATATTATGCTTTGATTGCTTTATTAATTTTTATGTATGATTTATAAATTATAATATTGTGTCTGCACCGTATCCTACATTTTTAATAATTGACGTGTCCGTATCTGTATCGTGTCTTATCCATGTCACCGTATCCACATTAGTGCAACATATGATTTCACACTTACAGAGGGGGCGATTAATATTGTAACAACTGTTCACATAAATAAAAATAAAGTTTCAATTTTTAGAGAATTATTTTGGTATTAACTTTGCTAAAAAATTTACTTTAAAAATTAGTAAGAAAGTTATTCAGTTATTCTAATTTAAAGTTTCATCTCCCTCGTATTGTTGGCGACCACAATAGGGTGCCACCTGTGACCCTATCCCGCAAGATTTTCTTACATGAATTTAAGCCTCATTTTCCACCCCATCATCACAGCAGGGAGAAAGTCTCTATTGTTTAATCGACTCAACCATTATTTCTTCTGCCTGAATTAATGATATCCAATCGACTCAATAACTACCAGGCCACAAGCACTCATTCTTCAGTAGCAATTGAAATAGCATAAATTGTGCTTTCAAGAAGAAAGAATAGACAAACAAAACATACAAAATCTGGCTTATTGTTTTGCGATTGATATTTCATATTTGATTGGGGAAGAACTAAGAACATTTCCAATCTAGCAACCTATTTTTCACTTCAAAATACAATTACGATCATATCATATAATAATTCGTCTCCAATCGAATTATATTTCTAAAACTAAAAAAATTATTTTATATATATTCTTTTTCTATCTCCATTTCTAACCTCCATTTTACTGCACCAAAAAAATATTTTTACAAAAAATAGAAGCAGCTGCAAACGCGTAAATGACGTTCGGTTGAAAATATCCTTTTGATACCATTCAAGCTTGTTGAATAGAGATGGTGCAGATAAACGTCAATTGTCTGAATGCCAATTCCTTTAAAGTAAAGATGTTAAAAGAATTGAATAATAAGTCCAAAGATATCTCAAAATCATTGGCAACTACAATACAAATTTTGATTAATTATTTATATATTACACTCATCAAAATAAATACAATAATTTTAAAATTTATTCTATTACATTCCAAATATATTAATTCAAATATTTTCTAATATTTATATTAATAAGATTAACATTACGTCTAGATAAATTGCAGAAGCACGCAGCTAATTGGGCCAATTTCTTCACAGCCGAGATTGGGCTCGTTGCTCTGTCAAGAAGGGATAGTCTGTAAACCCGACCACTGGATCCTGCGTGTAGAAAGTCGATCTGACGTACCGGTTCAGACCGGCATTAAGCCTAAACCGCTCTGGCAGATCCGGGTTGGAGATAAAAAGCCGGCCATAAGACACTAGGTCTGCTGCGCCTCCGGCCACCGCCTCCTCACCGAGCTCCCGGGTGAAGCCACCGCTGGCAATGAACGTCCCATCGTACGCATCTCGCCAAGCCCGCATCAGACGGCTCTCCTCTTCTGGGTTACCATACCGCGCAGCCTCTGCTTGACCGTACGCCGTGTATCGCGGCTGGGTGACATGGAGGTAGGCGAGCTTCTCACCGGCGGTGGACTGTATTGCATTGAGCTTCCCGGCAACAGCAAGACCGAGGGAGAGGGGATCGGAGTCATGGGCCTCAAGGTGGTCAATGGCCGGGGATACTCGGACGCCGACTCGGCTGGGCCCAATGGCAGAGGTCACTGAATGGACCAATTCGGCGAGGAAGCGGATGCGGTTCGGGAGCGGACCGCCGTAGGCGTCGGACCGATCATTGATGCCATCTTTGAGAAACTGGTCTATGATGTATCCATGGGCCCCGTGGATTTCCACGCCGTCGAAACCTGCAGGTTGAGCGACAAAGGTAAGATATTACACCAGAAGACTGTCAAACAATATCAAAGGCCTACAAAGACAAATTTTTACCATCAAATACAGAGAATGTTATATAAGAATAATATTCAATTTTTTTTTTTAGAATTTTTCTATTGAAGTGATAATCTTGGGATTTGGCGTCATATAAACGAACTTCCGCCGCTTTTTTGCCTAAAATCGAACCTAATAAATATTTATTTATTTTTGTTTTTTATTTTGTTGAGATATTATATTACTCGATATCATTTAAATATGTATGAGAATTTTATCTTAATTTCTATATTAATGTTGTATCTTAAATAAATTAATTATGTAAAAAATATTTTACTTTCTAAAAAATAATGTGTTTTTAAATTATTATTTCTTAATTATTGATAACAAAATTCTACACTTAAAATTTTTAAATTAATAACCAATTTTTCGAATTTAAAAAAAATATATTCACAATGTTCACCCATAAGCAAATAGCGGAAACTTTAGCTCTACCTGCTTTGATTGCGTTGACAGCCGCTTGCCTGTACTGCTCCACAATTTTGGGTATCTCTGAAGCAGAAAGACGGCGAGGCCTTGGGTAGGTACCATATTTTCCATCAGGCATCAATATCCTCCACCTCCCAGAGATCGGCTTATCCGTAGAGGATATTGGAGCGGAATCATCACGAGGTTGGTAAACTGCAGCACCAAATCACAGATTAGAAAGCAAAATAGTTTTATTGATATGTCTATACAAAACAAATAGAAAATAAAAAAGGAGAAAATTTATCCAGTGGCGATTATTTTTGAAGTGTTTATCACAGTAGCAGGGCAGGGAATAGGCATAAAAGCATAAATGTCATCATGTGCTATCACAGCCTGACCAAAACACAAGGTCTGAAGCTTTTTTTAGTTTAAAAATTGATGAGTTCAACAAGAGACTGAATACTCTAGCTCTTATAAATCATCGTGACATCTTTCAGAAAACTATTCCTCTCTAAACTTTGAAACTTGTAAGAAAAAAAAAACAAATATTTAGTTGAATACTCAATTTGAAAGAAGTGCATAAAAAACTAAGGCTCGTTTGGGACGGGTTTTTTTTCCTGCTTTTTGAAGTAGCTTTTTAATACAAAAATTAAAATTTTTGTACTAGAAAATTGATTCAAGAAGCAATAAAAAAACCGTCCCAAATGAAGCCTAGTTATGAACATCATGAGACATATTCTCAAGTCAAAGTGATGCAAAAATAATTTTTGTTATTCCACGATGTCCTATAAATGAGAGCAGAAATTGAGTTAACCTTGGTGAGAAGCCCTTCCTACGTGCCACAATTGGCAGAAAATGATGCTTCCTTTAGCATGCACAGCATCAACAACCTTCTTCCACGCATCTATTTGCACTTGAGTGTAAATTCCAGGGCAGTGTGGAAACCTGCAAGTGAAAAGCTATTAAAATCCTTACTTGCAAAATAAGAAGTTGAATAACATAAAAAAAACGCCTGTTATGGCAATGGCATGATTGTGTATTTTAAAAACTTGTAAGAGTTTCAGTTTGGCTGGTTACTCATACATTTTTTTCATGTTACTGTGTAATGCCCAAACATACCTTTGATAAAGTTGGAAAAACAAAACCATTTTGACTTGTTTTGCTTAACTTTACTGATGTAGTGGATCGTCGGAAGACTCGACCTGCAAGAAGGATTTTGGGATCCCAATCCAGGGAAGAAGAAGAAACAAAAGCTCTAAGGCTTCAAATGGTATAATATTTCATTCAATACCTTTCCTATTACAAAACCTCCTATTTATAATAGCAAAAAGAGAATTCTAGAACCTCATTCTAACAAACTTAGATAAGATGTCCTAGGGAACACCATAAGCATAAGATGCACCGCATCATTCTCCCCTAGCGAAAAAAAAGGCTCGACTCCGTCGAGACGCATTATTGACAAAGAAGTTGCAGAAGGCAGATTCCCGGATCGAAGACTTTGAATGCGGGCTTTAAAATTACCACATGAAGAGGCTTACAAAATTGAGCATCATCCACTCTGCTCTCCTTGCAGAGTTCCTCAATAAGATATTTGTATGAGAAGTTCTCAACAACAAAGCCCTTTTCAAAGGAAATTTGAAATAACTCCTTAGCCTCCAACACCTTACCATATCTACACAACTCGTGGCAAAACAAGCTATAGAGAACCTCCTTCTCACCGCAAATGGCAAGACCGATTAGGAATGCACCTTGAGCAGCATCAAACTCACCGACCTTGCAAAAGGCTTTAATCAACAGGCTGAAAGAAGCTAACTTGGGCAGGATTCCACCCTTCATCATCTCATTCAAAATCGAGGCAGCTTTACTAATCATTCCACCTTCACAAAAGGCCTGAATCAGGTTATTATACGTCATAGCATCCAGAGAAACGCCTTTATCACACATTTCATCAATTAAATCGTGCATTTCACTGATTTGATTTTTCCTTCCCAAGCCCCAAATCAGCAAGTTGTAGGTTCTTGCGCTTGGTTGACAGCCTTTCTTCTCCATGTCCCTAAGAACTTTAAAAGCAGAGGAGATCTTCCCAAGTTTACAAAACCCATGGATAAATGTATCATAAATTATGGCATCAGGAGTGATATTCTTTCCCAACAACTCAAGCAGCTTCTTATTAGCTTCATCCAAGCGGCCTGCCTTGCACCAATTAAATCGTGCATTTCACTGATTTGATTTTTCCTTCCCAAGCCCCAAATCAACAAGTTGTAGGTTCTTGCGCTTGGTTGACAGCCTTTCTTCTCCATGTCCCTAAGAACTTTAAAAGCTGAGGAGATCTTCCCAAGTTTACCAAGCGCTGCACTTCCATGAAGCCACATGCCACTAACGATCTCCATTGCCTTATCCAACTTCCCACATCGGCATAAGCCATCAATAACTATATTGCAGCTCGCAATATTCAAACCATAACCTTTCTCATTCATCTTTTGCAGCAGCATTTCTGCCTCCCATGTTCTTCCCTCTTTCCAGAGACTCTGAAGCAAGATGTTGCAAGTAAAAACATTTGGAAAACATCCGTTGCTCGCCATCTCATGCAGAAGCCAAGTGTGAGTTCTCCGGCTGGTCACTTCGAATGTCGGATCATCATCCATATTATAAACCATATAATGCCGCACCAATGTAGGATCGAACCCTTTGTGGTCATTATATCGAGCAGTTGGGGAGCATTGCAGGTAAACAGTTTTGTTTGCGAACTTTAGACAGGGCGCATTCACACCTGCAGGGAAAACACGCCAAATAACGTTGGCATTTAGTTTAATCTTCCCATTTGGTAGAAACCCAGTAAACTTATTGTTTCCAAGTCTAAGAATCTCAAGGTAATACACATAATCAAATCCAGGCAATGGCCCTGACAACCGATTGTAGCTCAAATCCAACACTCTCAAACTCCCAAAAATAGATAGCTCGCCTCCATCAATCAGTGATCCAGTCAATTGATTATGGCTCAAATTGAGATACTTCACAGAATCTGATACCTGGAGCTGAGAAGAATTTCCATCCGCGGCAGAGTTCAGAGCCCGCACTGCCTTGTTGCCGTCCGCAGGCAATGCAGGAAAACGGCAAATCTGCAGCTGGAGCTCCATCCCGACAGAGTCGGATTCTTCAAATACAGTAGGAGAATGAACGCTGGTCGAAGTGTGGGGCTGGAAGACGGCGTGGAGCGGAGCTGGGTTTGGCATTGCAGGATGCGAAGGTGAGGCCGGGATCAGATCTGAATCGCTGGAAATATCCGGTGGCCATCGGTATCGATCGAATCGCTGCTGGCGGTTGGTGGAACTATAACGACCCAAGATCCGTGTAGTGAAAGGATTCATCTGATCGATCATTCATTTTCTTTTTCTCATCCATTATTCGTATCAATACACACATACATATATCCAAAGCCAGAGATAATTACATTACAGAAAGAAACAGCAGCGGATACTATAATTCACATATAGTACAACAGAGCACAGACAAAAAGCGTCCAAGAGGTCATATACAATAGCCGCACCGGCTACAAAAGAAAGCCTACCAAGGCTACAAAACAAAGAGCGGGTTTAAGCACCGAGTCTGAAATAGACATGTTCTTGCACGGAAAGACATTTTCGTTGAATTTAACATGTCTAGATATAAAAATGCTATTCGTTATCATATTCAAGCATTTGTAGCCTTTTGATGTTTCAGAATACCCAAGAAATATGCACGGTTGTGACGTTGGCGTGAGTTTTGTACAATGAGAGGGAGGAGATAGCGGGTAACATTCACATTCGAATGTTCGAAGGTGTTCGTATGAGGTTTTTATTTGGAACATTCTTTGTAAGGGTGACATGTTTGCTGTAGTAATTGAGGGAAGCCGATTAATGAGGTAGGTAGCCGTGCACGCCGCATCCAGCCAATAATTCATTGGTAAGCTGGCCGTTTGTAGTAGCGTTCTCGTCATTGTGATGATATGACGATGCTTATGCTCTGTCGTGCCGTTTTGTTCTGGAGTATAGGGACACGAGGTTTGATGCTTGATCCCTATGTTCTTTGTAAATGTTTGGAAATGTTGATTTACAAATTCACCACCTCCGTCAGTTCTTATAGTTTTTACCTTGTAATTTGTTTGACGTTCGATGAAGTGGACGAACTGAATGAAAATGTTAGTGACCTCAGACTTATGTATTAAAGGAAACAGCCATATAAAACGTGAGAAATCGTCAACAAAGATTACATAGTATTTGAATCCTTGATGTGAGGGAGCCGGTGAAGGACCCCACATATCGGAATGAATGAGTTCCAGTGGAGCATTAGTTCTATTAGTTGAACGATCAAACGAGAGTTTATGACCTTTACATGATAAGCAGGAAGTACAAACAGACTTAAAAGACTTAATATGTAAACAGGGATTATTCTTTGAGATTTGCTGAAGAACACGGTGATGAGGATGTCCTAGGCGACGATGCCAGTCCAAAGAAGATGTGTTGGACGCCATTAACGCTTTGGAAGATTGCTGTGGTCGCGGGGTTCCGATCTTGTACATTCCATTGCTACATGGACCTTTGAGGATGACTTGATTGGTCGTCCGATCCTTAAAAACAAAACCGTTTTCATCAAATGTTATAAATATAGGATTATCTTTGACAAGATTTGATATAGATAGTAGATTATAAGACAGTGATGGAATGTGAAGAAGCCGTGAGAGAAGGATCTTACTAGCCGCGGTAGGAAGTAGTCCCGTTCCCGTGTGGGCAATTGGGACGGACCTTCCGTCCCCGATGGTTACCATATTATTCCCTTTGTAGGCGTTGTAATTGTCCAGATTGTCGATTGTATTGGTCATGTGCGAGGATGCGCCTAAGTCAATGTACCAATCGACCGTCTGATTGCTGTCGTTGTTTACAAGAAATGCTGTGTTGTTCTTGGACGTAGGCGGATTCGGAGCGTAGTTGACGTTAAGCCGATGCCAGCACGCGTCGACACTGTGCCCTTTCTTTTTGCAGATTTGGCATGTAATGCCGGAGTTCTGCGCAGGTTTGTTTGTCTGTGAGTTATCTGGCGCCGATCGACCGCGTCTACCACGTCCCCTGAATGTAAAGAGTGCGGATTGATTGTCCGGTACTTTCGGAAACTTGAGTGCCGCCGACTTAAGATGGATTTCTTCACTTATTAGAAGTGAATAAAGATTGTCAAGAGAGAGAGAATTTTGCATTGTGCGGATGGTAGTTGTAAACGACTGGTATTCCGGAGGTAACTCGTTCAAGATGTAGATCATGACATCTTCGGGATCGACCGACGAGCCTGCCGCTGAGATTTTATCCACGATCTTCTTGATTTCAGTAAGATACTGAGTCATGGACATTGTATGCATAGATACGTTGTGTAGCTCATTTTTGAGCTGAATGACCTTTGATCGGTTAGATGACTGGAATCGCGTTTGGAGAGTCAGCCAGATTTCGTGTGTGGATTCAAGATGAATCACATAGGGCAGGACTTCCGGCGAGATAGTGGAGCACATCGCAGTTGCAAGGTTCTGGTCCGTGACTTGCCATGTTTGAGCACCTTGATTAGGATCGGCGTTCTCTTGCGTCGATTTTGGATCAAGAAATGCGGCGAATCCGTTGGCCTTGAACAATTTTGCAATTTGTGTACTCCATATTGGAAAATTATCCGATGTAAGCGAATGCGGAACGAGTAATTTGAGATTCGAAATTACAAATTTTAGAGAAGGAGAGATGAGCTGAGTCGACGATGCATCTCGGGTAGAAGGCCGGTCATCGAGGTGGCGGAAGCTTGGTTTGCCATGGCGAGGTCGTCAGAACCGACCGGCTCTTGATACCATGAAGAAATCCAAGAACCGAAGAAGAGGAAGAAGAGGAACAGGGAAATAGTAAAATGTAAATTGTATATTCTTCCTTATCTCTGTTACAGATTGAACATGAATATATAAAGAGATATTGAGCTACTAGAGGTACACGTGTAATGTTTTAATAGGTCTTAATAATGTCTTTATTCAAAGCATGGCTTTGGTTGTAATCCTGTAGCTTAACATTCCCCCTCAAACTGATTATTGGGTCCGATAGTCAGTTTGGAACGAAGAATTTTAAATCGAGAAGTAGCTAGAGGTTTGGTTAGGATATCAGCAATCTGATCGATCGTGCTGATTGGTAATAACCGAATACTCCCGTTTTGAATGTGATCACGAACGAAGCGTTGGTCGATTTCGATATGCTTTGTTCGTGCATGGAATACGGGATTATTTGCCAAAGCTATGGTAGACATGTTATCACAGAATATTTCTATGGGTTGGTTGTGAAGGATGCCGAAGTCAGCCAGGAGGAGCTTAATCCAGATAGTGTCCGCGGTAGCTGATGCCAAAGCTCGGTATTCTGCTTCGGTAGAGGATCGGGAAACTATAGTCTGTTTCTTTACAGTCCAGGAGACTAAAGTTTCTCCCAGAAATGTGCAGAAACCTGATGTAGATTTACGAGTCACCGGATCCGAGGCCCAATCTACGTCCGAAAACGTTCGGAGCAGTAGATTGTTTCTGGAGATGTGAAGGCCATAGTGAGTTGATCCTTTGATATACCTGATCAGCTTCTTTAACATGACCGTGTGAATGGCAGATGGATTATGCATATGTTGTGAGAGTGTATTTACGGCGTAAGCTATGTCCGGGCACGTCAATGTCAGATATTGAAGTGATCCAATTATTTTCCGGTATGTTAAAGCGTCGAAGAGAGGAGGGTCGTCGGAGCCTGTTACAGGTAGTTTTGTAATAGAAGGATTAGCTACCGAGTTACAATTCTGTAGCTCGGCTAACTGTATGATAGAATTTGCGTATAAATTTTGAGACAAGAAATACTTATCAGGAGTGGATTCGATCTTGATGCCAAGAAATTGATTTGCCGTGCCAAGATCATTCATTGTGAACTTCGATTTCAATTTTTCCACCAGATCGCTCATCGCTTCAGTGTCATTACCGGTTAGAAAGATATCATCCACGTACACGAGTAAGTAGAGTTGTATATGATTCCAATGTAAGATCAACAGTGATGGGTCTGCCTGGCTGTGGATAAAGCCAATTTGAATGAAGTAATTTGTGAAAGTGGTGTACCATTGACGAGGTGCTTGGCGCAATCCATAAATTGCCTTTTTAAGACAGCAAACATGGTTGGGATTAGACGAATCCTCAAATCCTTTAGGTTGTCTCATATATACTGTGTCGTTGATGTCGCCGTGTAAGAATGCATTTGCCACGTCAAGTTGTCGTATGTGCCATTTGTGAAACAGAGCCACCGTGAATAGGATTCTGATTGTTGGTAGCTTGGCAACCGGACTGAACGTGTCTTGATAATCAAGGCCATACTCTTGTTGATTCCCTTGTGCGACGAGTCGTGCTTTGAATCGAGCCACTGATCCGTCTGAATTATACTTAGTTCTATAGGTCCATTTGGATCCCAGAATGGATCCGTTGATTGGTGGTGGTACGAGCGTCCAGGTGTCCTGTTTTTGTAATGCGAAAAACTCCTCTGCCATTGCCTTACGCCATTCAAACTTCTTGCTGGCCTCACTATAGGTTGTAGGGTCAGTATGAGGTAGATCTTTATGCAATAGATTCAACCTTTGAACTGGTTTAAGACTTCCAGTTTTTGCTATGGTCGTCATTTGATGAGTGACAGTCGGAGCGGATGTAGTAGACCTGGTTTGAGGGATGTGATTGACGAGAGGAGCAGTTGGAATTGGTGGGATAGTAACCTGTGATACTGTATCTCTGGATACTTGCGTCTGATTGTGCTCCGGTGATCTGGAGTGCGTAGTATGTAGTGTGGAGGCGGGAACGAGCAGATGAGTAGGTGGATTGGGTTTAAGCACCGAGTCTGAAATAGACATGTTCTTGCACGGAAAGACATTTTCGTTGAATTTAACATGTCTAGATATAAAAATGCTATTCGTTATCATATTCAAGCATTTGTAGCCTTTTGATGTTTCAGAATACCCAAGAAATATGCACGGTTGTGACGTTGGCGTGAGTTTTGTACAATGAGAGGGAGGAGATAGCGGGTAACATTCACATTCGAATGTTCGAAGGTGTTCGTATGAGGTTTTTATTTGGAACATTCTTTGTAAGGGTGACATGTTTGCTGTAGTAATTGAGGGAAGCCGATTAATGAGGTAGGTAGCCGTGCACGCCGCATCCAGCCAATAATTCATTGGTAAGCTGGCCGTTTGTAGTAGCGTTCTCGTCATTGTGATGATATGACGATGCTTATGCTCTGTCGTGCCGTTTTGTTCTGGAGTATAGGGACACGAGGTTTGATGCTTGATCCCTATGTTCTTTGTAAATGTTTGGAAATGTTGATTTACAAATTCACCACCTCCGTCAGTTCTTATAGTTTTTACCTTGTAATTTGTTTGACGTTCGATGAAGTGGACGAACTGAATGAAAATGTTAGTGACCTCAGACTTATGTATTAAAGGAAACAGCCATATAAAACGTGAGAAATCGTCAACAAAGATTACATAGTATTTGAATCCTTGATGTGAGGGAGCCGGTGAAGGACCCCACATATCGGAATGAATGAGTTCCAGTGGAGCATTAGTTCTATTAGTTGAACGATCAAACGAGAGTTTATGACCTTTACATGATAAGCAGGAAGTACAAACAGACTTAAAAGACTTAATATGTAAACAGGGATTATTCTTTGAGATTTGCTGAAGAACACGGTGATGAGGATGTCCTAGGCGACGATGCCAGTCCAAAGAAGATGTGTTGGACGCCATTAACGCTTTGGAAGATTGCTGTGGTCGCGGGGTTCCGATCTTGTACATTCCATTGCTACATGGACCTTTGAGGATGACTTGATTGGTCGTCCGATCCTTAAAAACAAAACCGTTTTCATCAAATGTTATAAATATAGGATTATCTTTGACAAGATTTGATATAGATAGTAGATTATAAGACAGTGATGGAATGTGAAGAAGCCGTGAGAGAAGGATCTTACTAGCCGCGGTAGGAAGTAGTCCCGTTCCCGTGTGGGCAATTGGGACGGACCTTCCGTCCCCGATGGTTACCATATTATTCCCTTTGTAGGCGTTGTAATTGTCCAGATTGTCGATTGTATTGGTCATGTGCGAGGATGCGCCTAAGTCAATGTACCAATCGACCGTCTGATTGCTGTCGTTGTTTACAAGAAATGCTGTGTTGTTCTTGGACGTAGGCGGATTCGAAGGCAAATTTAATTTGTAAAGTAAGAAAATAAACTAATTCACTGCTAAAGTTTTATTATTCTTTTCAAGTCATACAACCATACATGATAAATAATGCAATTCAAAAAATTAATTTAGGCCCTCCTAAATATATTTTTTGGGTCCGCCGCTATCTATATTATTCAATAGATCAAATCGCACTTATAACTAAGTTTAAACTCTGATCAAATAGAACAAGACAGCAAAAATTACCCTGCAGCTTTGGGTGAAACCAAGGTCCCCTCAGTAATCAACAAACCACCGTCAGTGGCTCTTTGGGTATAGTATTCAATGTTAGCAGGCTGTGGAACTCCATTTAGAGCCCGACACCTCGTCATAGGTGCCAGAACTACCCTGTACCCATAAACAAAGCCATGAATATTCAGAAGGAAATACAACGCAGAAGCGCATATATTTAACAAATGTTATCGACTTCACTAAATAAACTTCTTCATAAGCTTACATTTCAAATAACCAATTATCCGAATTCATGCAAGTAAGAGTGAAGCTCATCTAGTCTGAAGAAATGATGTATTGTGAACAACTCTTTCATGATAGATTTCAAAGATATGCAAAAAGATGGCATTTTGAACAATAATAAACCCCAACGCGCAATAGGTCGTGGGTAAGGTTGGCGATCAAACAAGCCCTCCAAGTATTCCAATGACAACAGTCACATGAAAAGAGAAATCTCTACAAGAGGTTATGGTAAAGGACATCCAAATTCTAGATGCAATAAATCTCAAGTTAAACGATATTATAAATCAGCAGGCGCACTATGCTAGATAATGTAAAACACCAAAGTTCAAAATTGATTAGAGTCAATTACATGGAAAAAAAGAAAGAGGAAAATAAAAAGGTAACATCTTTATTCCAGCAAATGATGGAAGACATCAATTCATTTCAAATGTCTATTATGTACCCAATATGAAAAGCAAAATTGCGATTTTGAGTAAACTCCTAGGCAAAGGCTATGATATTCACATGAAATATTATAGTCTTTTTATAAGATATCGCAAAGAAATGTCATTACCAAAGTGAAATTGTCAAAAAAATAGAATTTTTTCTTTGCATATTAAAAACAATGTAGCAAATATCAAAACATGTTACAAAGATGCATCTTGGCTTTGACATCTTTATTTTGAGCATCTCAACTTTAGAGAACAAGAGTTTGTTGGGATTCTTGAGGAGTTGTGCTTCTTGAATGTAGAGGGAGAGAGGGAGGGAGGGAAGAGGAGAGGGGGAGAGCCAAAAATAAACTGCAATATTACTGCTTGGCTTCTCGAGTATTACAACCTTATACACTTATTTATAGACAAACCAATGAACAACTCTAATCCATGGTTATACAAGAGTACACAAAGAAGAACCTAAAGAAAATACAACATGATCCTAAGGAACAACTAACCTAAAATTGGACCAAAACTTAATAATCTCCACCTTGGTCAAGATTTTACAATCAAAGAAAATCCTTCCCTACCTGTTGCCTCTACCTGCTGCAACGCTGCAGCGACAATACCTAGCTCTCCTTTCCACCCGTCACCTCCTTAGTAGCTGCATCTCCACCTTGTGGCAAATCTACATGCTTCCCTGCCTTGACCGAGAGCCATTGCTCCACCTGCTTCCATCAATAAAAGTCTTTAAGTGACGGTCTGCTTCTCCTCTACTTACTTACTCGAACCAGCATCTGCTCTGATCCGATCGGCTCCCTGCACTAACTCCAAGAGCAAACCTGTCGAGCCGGCCCAATTCCGCTCATGCCCGACCTCTATTGTGCGTTCACGCGTTCCAAACCACATGCGCCTATGTCCGTCGTTGTTCCTCCCATGATCTGCATCCCCATGCCTTATGCAGTTTTTTGCCCACGCACCTCTCGTATGTCACACTTGTGCACCAACTCCGAGTACCCTTCGGCTTGCCCATCTTCCCTGGGCATCTGTGTGTGCTCTGACCCTTGACTTCACACGAGTCATCCGCCTGATCCTGATCCCGAGCCTGGTGCCCGCTTCTTGCACAAAACCGCACACGCTACTTCCCGCGTGAGAAACTAATGATTCTTGAATCCACCGAGAATCATCCACCCGCTTTTGTCTCTGCCCTATGCAATCAGGCAGCCAACTAGCTTCTGTGCACAAGATCCAGTCTGCACGGAATGCACCATCCGACTCCGCTTTCGATTTCGCGACCAATTAGCGATTAAGCCTGATCGTGTATTAGAAGCCCACAAACAGCCCAACCACCCGCATAACACACCCATGGGCTCTGCTCCTACAATCTGTGTGAATCCTCATGCGCCCACAGAATGCCTAGCGTGAGTCCCCTCCCCCCCTTCTCAGAGACCGTGTTCATGTGCGCCTTGGTCGTCCCCCTCGCACGCCCAACCTCCACGCCAAGTGTGCCGCGTACATGAGATCCGCACGCTCATGCGCGATTCTTGGCTCTGACTTCCTTCGAAGACCTCCAACTGATGCCTGTTGAACCAGACCCAATCTCTCACTCTGATTCTTCAGCACCGTGCATACAACACTACATGTGCATCTCGCGCAACCAGCTTGAATACACGAGACTCAAATCTCGTGCCCTCTGTCCACTTGCACGCGCGACCTTCATTTACAGCCCGCTTGCACGTGCATCACCAACTCGAGATACTAATATCCCGGCTCATGTTCGCGATCCCAGGCCTACATGATGGTACTTCTTGTGCTTGTATCCGACCCATATATTCCACTGCCAAAGAGCCCACATGCTTGTGTCCAATTTTGAGCTTTTGAACCTCCCTTTTGCTGCTCCGATATGTCGCACTATTGATCGTGGCACCTCACAAACTACATGATATATCCCACAGTCAATCGAAAAACCAACACGAGCTCCACCCCACTCAGGACATCCAGCATGCCCGCCTGCGTACACTCTTGATTTCGCAATCCGCTCAATCGCCTCCTCTTCTTGATCACAAAAACACCTTCATGATCCTAATGAATTGCAATATTATTGCTTGGCTTCTCGAGTATTACAGCCTTATACACTTATTTATAGTTGTACCAATGAACAACTCTAATCAATGGCTATACAAGGCTACACAAAGAAGAACCTAAAGAAAGTACAACATGATCCTAATGAAAAACTAACCTAAAACTGAACTAAAACCTAACAGAGTTCTTACCTAAGAGGATGATGAGAGGTTTATGTACATAAACCGCCCTAACAAACTTTGTGAAGGATATGGAAGTCATCAAGTCATTTCAAATTTCTATTATAAGCTTAATTTGAAAAATAATATTTTGAGTTTGGACCAAATTTTAGAGATAAGCTACACATATGAAAGATTATAGGCTTTTTACAAGATATGAAAAGGGAATTAAATTACTAAGTTAGAAAAGCCAGATAATCTTCTTTGAGGATTGAAAATGATATTACAAAATATCTCAAGACATGTTGCATATACCCTGCAGCAACCACCCTAATTAACTTTGTGAAGATGTTTACTCAAAAAGCAATTCAATAGAGCTTTTAAAAGAGTCAAGTTAAAGTGCTCAAAAGACACAAGAGCTCATACATACATGCATGGTTGAACCGATCAAGCCTAGCTCAATTGGTAAAAACGATTACTTCCTTCTTTTCATAGATGATTTTTAGAGAAAATAGTGGTTTATTTCTTTAAACATGATTTAGAAGTCCATTAAGCATTCAAGAATTTCAAGGCCACAATGGAGAAAGAAATACATGTCGTTGGGCACCTTTGGACTCGGATGATATTACTTTTTGTGTTGTTTGATTTATACATTAAGACGTTCAATTCGACTATAAGTTTGCTGAAATTAAAGTTCAAATGATTCAAATTTTGATTTTGAAAGTTTCCAACTCAACAATGCATCGAGTGGATATTTTGTTGACATATCAAACTTAATATTAAAAATGAATTCAACCATTCAAAACATCTTTATTGAAACAAACTAAGCCCAAACATTTTTGTTCACGTAATTTTAAATCATTTATAAAATTGGTTCCAAATGTAATTTTTACATAATTTTAAATCATTTATAAAATGTAATTCTGTAAAACTAGGCCCAAACATATGTGTTGAAGCAAATTATCCCAAAAACAGAATAATGAGAAAGCAAAAATCATAGAGTTTTTATGAAAACATAAAAAATCAATGACATTTTCATGAAAACATAAAAAATTACCCTTTTTGCTCTTTTTTAAATAAAATTTTAATTATTCTCTTTTTCTTAATTAAATTAAACACCAGATCCCCTTTAAATTTTCAGCATTTCTCCCATTCTCTCTCTTTTAAACATGATATCAGAGCCACATTTTATATTAATCATTTCTAGCTAAACATCTTACATTCACAAACCTCCTACGAGCGCACAAACTTTCCCTGCATTCCTATTGACAAGCTTGGCGTCATTGGCTTTGCTACCCGCAATCTCAAACGCACCCCTGCTTTGCACGAGTACTCACAAGACCACCATCCGCACACGCATCCCATCAAATCGCACGCGCCAACTCCACCTACTCGCCATCCGCGCGCACATCTCCTCCCTGAAATCATCTTTGACTTCGTCGCCTCGACATCACTCGGTTGCCGGAGAAAAACACCCTCTTTAGATACCCCGTGAGTACAGTTCTCCCTACTTATAAGAACATTTTTAACGATAATTACTGTTTTCAAACATAAAACTTTTTACACTCTTGAGTTTATTGGGGAATATTATGTTAAAATATGCACAAAATCATAGCAAAGTTCCTGGCAATTCAATTACCAATATATTTTTTATTATTGAAATTATTTTATTTTATTTTTTATTTTTAGATATATATAGCCAAATATATACTTGTACCATAAAAAATTCAAATAAATATCAAAGGATGCATGAAATTATTCCTAAATATAGTCTAATAATAGTATAAATTATCCATATAAATTTGAAAATGAAGCCCAAAACTTATCAGCCTCGTATATCAATCCTGTAAACCATAACTTACATCAACTCAAACGGTTTTAGAATAAATATAGAGATCAAATACAATAGAAAGTAAGATCCGCCATTAGCGCAGACGGAAGAACTAAAAAACTGAATTCCTTTAAATTCTCCAAAAAATGAACAAAATCATTTTACCGCGTAACCCTAAAGTAGATCCAAATGAGGAACTGAGAGAAGAAAGCTCACCGATGTGAGAGGAGGAAGCGACCCATTTGGTATGGCTTAGACAGAGACGGGCTATGATTCTCAGTCTCTGCCATGTGATTGAAGCTGCAGATCGAGCAATAGAAGAGAAGAAGAAGATGAGATCAATCCAAAGAGATGTGAAGAAAATCAGCAGCAATTAATGATCTATCGATGGATGCTACGAAGAGAAAAAGGGGGAAAAAGGGTTTATAAATTAGTGGGAGTATAGTGCGAGTACAGAAGCTGGGAGACCGCGTGAGAGCTGGGGCCCGCGGCATCTGCATCTGGTCACCGCTCCACCTTCAGGCATTTCAACGAAAATAATAAGAAACTGACCTTGAGAAAGTCGCTTCTCGGTGAGCAGCGAAGTTCACTTGGCGGTGACAATACCTGAAATGGTGGGGCCTCTTTCATATGCAATTGTGGCTCTTCTTGTACCGAGCCGCCAGGAGGAGAAATTTGCCTATGCTAAGCCACTATTTATCCATTTATTTCATAATAAGTTAATTTATTTAAAAATTAAATAATATTAAAATTTCTAGAGATTTATATTGAACTTGTCTTCATTAATCGCACGAGGTCGTAGACCCGTCAAAGATGGACAAGCGTATGGATCGTAGCCATACGATTACTTTGAAAGTCGTGCGATTAATTCATCATCAGAATTGTCATTGGTTGGTCAAATCGTGGAAGCACATGTCAAAATAGCCTAACGTTTTTAACGACCTTTAATTTCTCCTTGCGCCATTGACGCATTGACTGATTGATGCTTCGCTATACAATGCGCTACATGGTCCTGCGCACGTTTTAATCGTTTACCTCTTAGGTCAGATAATATATTTTGGTATTAGACATTTTCCCAAATCTTCAACTTTAATATGCATATATTTGTCCAAAATTCTCAGTGGCATGAATTAGAGTTCAGCTCATGACTCTCTTGAAAAATATTATTTTTAATTATTAAAATTATTTTTATTTACTTTTTCATGATTTTAATTCTTGGATTTTATTTTGATTATTAGGAATATACATCCAAAATTATTTGAATCAAATTAATCAAGTATTATATGTAATAATAATCTGGGATAAAAATATGTATCTCAATAAGATCCATCGACATGAACATTAATGTTTTTATCATCAAGAAGTGAGACACCAGACCTCAATGCCAATGTACATTACATATACAAAGACTAATGCTTGCCTTCTTGGTCACTGATCTGCCATCTTGTCAGGAGCATGATAAAACATGTTTGTGTATCATTGACTTATTAGACATGATACGATTTTGATAAATATAACTTATATAAGCATGAAATATTGTAAGACAACATGACTTGCAGAAATGCATATGATCTTTAACACTTGGCTCATTGGTTATCAATTCTTTATCATCTATGTGATATGTAATAAGCATATAATGATGTTATATTGTGTGATGCATGTTATCAAGAAAATGCATAATATAGGGGTGTCAATTCAGGTCGACGGGTTGGGTTCGGGTCGAACCCGAGTCGACTTTCGGGTCAGTATCGGGTTGATTTTGGGTTTCCGGGTCAACCCTAACCCGACCCATTTTTTTGAAACTGGTCAAAAATCCGAACCCGAACTTGAATTTTTCCGGGTTAGGCACGGGTCAGGCTTCGGGTCGTGTCAAATATTGACACCCCTAATGCATATCATAGAAGCCTGGGAGGCAAAAATAGAAGGAATGACCTACAAAAAGCATTGGAAAGTTTGTCGATTATGAAGTGGACTGTAGCGCTAGGGCGACAAGTTAGAGGGGAAAAAGAAAATGTTTCAGGTAATTTTAAAGGAAAGTGTTCGAAAGCAAGGGAATTAAAAATTTATCTATCTTTAGCTCAAGAAGACCAAACTATTTTTGTACCATTTTGACTCATTGTGGAACCTTTAGAGTTCTAATTAAACAAAATAATAAATTAGAAAGTTGTAGGAATTGATTTGGGTAATTATAGACTTATAGTGTTAATTGATCCAAATTTGAAAACTTTATTGGCTTATTGTTTAGGATTACATAAGCTTAATTATAATTAATGTGTTATTTAATGATGCTTAGTAATATATTTGCATATCTGCGTGATAAACAAGCTGAAATATGGCACAAAAATGTTTATGGTGTGTTACAAAAAAAGTAAAATATCTTACTACTTATTCATATGAGTTATATTCAAGGATTGTTGTAAGCAGTGTGCACATGTTATCATGTGAATTCATGAAGCAAGAACTAAATATATGATTTGCAACATGTATTGTCATACATCTGATGAAGATCAGATACTAAAGGTTCATTTGAGGTAGCTTATTTTTTACTTCATATTTCAAGCCCACGGGATGTCTGGATGCTTCTATTTGGCAACAATTTTTTATTGATTTTCAAAAAAATTTGCGATGAGTAGCTGTTATTTACAATCAAATCAGAGCATAGTAGAAATAAGAAAGTAATTGTTCGACTTCTTGAAAAAACTCTCAGAATAACTTTTAAAAAATATACTTCACTAAAATAATTCTGTAACAACTTCTACAAATAGTTTCAATTAGAGTTTTAAGTGACTTGAGCCAATTCACTGAGTCAGCTCGAACTCGTTAACAAGCTCATGAGTCGAGCTTATTGAGCCATGATTTCGAGCTCAAGTCTATACTCAAGCTTGTATATTAAACAAGTTTGAGCTCAAACTCAACCTGAATTGACTCAAAAGTTTGTTGAGCCGCTTGATTAACTTAAAGTAGAATTAGTTTAAATTAACATTATATAATACATTTAATATTTTTAAATTAATTTTATATTAAAAACAAAAATTCTTTAAAAAAAATGAAAATTTTAAATGTAAAACTAAGAAATCAAGCTCAAGAATCGATTCAAGCTTGAACTTTCCAAACGAGCCATATACATTCTTTAATGAGTCGAGCTCGAGTTTAGTAAACAAGCTCAAGTCCAACTTAAGCTCAACAAGAACTAAACAAGCTTAGTTCGATTAGGCAGATATTCAACTCGACTCGACTCGTTTACACCCCTCATTTCACTCGTCTCACGTGGAGCCTGAATATAATGTTTCATGGGTGTGCATAATAGTTGCACTTATACTATGTGAAAAGTGGAGTACTAAATCTACTAATGCATGGTCATACAAAAGATACATAATAGTTACATAATTTATATGTGCCGATGAAACATGATTTTATTTACATGATTAATAATATAGCAAAACTTGTGGGATAACAAATATGAGTAAGGATTCAATGACTTGAAATATCATCTTAAGAAGATGCCAATGGGCATATGACGAATGATGCGCATACTTAATGTGATATGATGTATTTGAGATTCTATCCTTAATTGACGGGGGGAGAGAGAGAGAGAGAGAGATAATCTCACATAAGGTTATTGGCTATAAAAAAAGAGTCACAAGAGAACCAAACCTCACATCAATGAAATACTATTATGATATATATGTAAATGATTAACTTAAACATATGCCCGAGCCGATCAACACGAAAGGTCAATTCAAAGGCGTAACGATGGAATATTAGAGAAACTCAATATAGGTGGGAATTGATGTAGCGAGTAAAGTTTCAATAGAAACACAACGATTAAATATATTTGTGAAGCATATTATTGAGATGATTGGTGTTTTTGGGAAATTGCAAGAAGGGTAAAATTATAAAGTTCATGAACCGGAACAAAATTTGCAATATCTTCTTAATGTGCACTATGTCAGTATAATTGACATCATATTTAAGGTTTTGTTCAGGACAACTTTCTTACTGTTTTATAAAGCATTTTTTTAATACATAATTTTAAATTAAAAATAAAGTTATACTATGAATCTGCTTCATAAAATAATAAAAAGTTATCCCATACAATACCCTAAATCTCCTTTAATATAATACATGATATTAGGATTGACCAAATAGAAGTTGGTGATCATATGATGAGAAATTATTTTGTGCGAACATCAGATCGTTCAGAGGCGAATCAGAAGGTGTCATGTCACTCGGTACACAGCCGCAGTAGATAGCAAACTGGTGACGTGGCGCATTCTGATTAGCCTCTGGGCGACATCCGTATCCTCACAGAATAATTTCACCCTTACGACATCCTTAATTCAATGTAAACATTTGAAAAAGAGGCTGGCAGAGATCATTGCCTCACCAAGGTTTTTACTTTTACTTGATATCCTTCTAGAAGAGATGGGAGCAAAAATAAATCAAATCTCAAATAAAAGGGGATAGAAAAAATTATTAGAGCGTTTAAATAAATCGCTAGATCAAATATATATGATAAAATAACTGTAACCAAGAATAAGGATTTGATTAAAAAGTTAATTAAGTTATAATTACTATTTAAAATATTCTTACAAGAAGTGGAAATACTTCATCCAGAGGAAAAACAGCAGGTAGACTTATCTATTCCTGTTTAAATTCTCTAATAAGAGGAAAGGGATTAGAGTTAGGGTTATGTGATTGTTGGACGATTTTTTGAGTTTTCTCTCAAGTGTTTGGGCTCTAGCCACTGGCTAGATATTTGGAATCTTTCTCTCGAATCGAAGATCCATTGTATCTTGTTGTTTTTCTTCTATTTTCTATCAATTATCAAGTTCCCTAATGTCTTGTCTAGGGATTTCTCAAAATCTACTTGATCCTTGCTGAAATTTGCAAATTCATCCAAGAATTTCTTAATTTCTGCACTGATATCCTATCAGTTGTAGAAAAGAACCAGGTATAGTTAGGAAGCAAAGCAGAGCCATCTTCCCAAAGTTAAGGAAGCGGCCAAGCAGGGGCAGCGCTGGGCTTCAGCTGACAAAAAGGAACTATGTGTAATTAGGGGCCTTCCATATTTATTGTAGAAAGAAGATGAAGAAGAGGGTGAAAAAAGAGTGTTTTTTTTTTTTTTTTTTTTTTTTTTTTTTTTTTTTTTTTTTTTTTTTAATTAGATAAAAACCCTACTCCTTGAAAAAATAAACCTACATAAAGTCACAAACAGATGCCACAAGCAATTTGATGAGATGAATCAATAGAAAAATGTCTCAATAAAATTTAATTGGCCCACTTATAATTTTCTTTCTTGAGTAATTGTTGGAGCACAAATGTGCTTGGCTTCAAACCCTGAAATTTTTCTTTTTCTGAGATTTTGATCGTGGTGTGAGAATACGATTGGGAACCCCCCAACTCATGC